CGCAGCAATGCTTACTTTCCTGAGAGAGGACAGGAGCTTTTAGTGACTTCATCTGTGTGTTCTTAAATGACCATATAAATGTATGTTTCTGACTTTCTTGTACTTCTCACGGGAATCTGGAAGTGCATCATGTTAAAGTGTTGTGGTAAATGTTTTAAGGTGGTAGTCAAATTTAAAGATAAAGTGAAAGAAACTGTGAAAAGCGTTTTCTTTTTAAGTTTCTCTGATGGTAATCCTCCAATTCCTCATCGTTCCTCTACCTTAAAACCTCTCCTCTCCTTACTTTCCCCTAACCCAACCCATTTTTTTCTTACCTTCTCGCCCTTTTTGCTAACACCTAACCCGTCTCCTTCTCTTTCCCCGTTTCCTTCCTTCCCTCCACCCGCCCACAGACGAGCCAACCAGCCCCGGCGCCGATTTGCGCGCCCGGCACGTGCCGGCGTCCTCCGTTGTCTCCAGCGGCATGAGTTCAACGCCCGCCGTGGTCAACAGCCCCGCATCCCCCACCTTCACCTTCCCCCTCACTAGGCTCTTCTCACACGACTGCAGTGAGTGCCCCCTCCTCCCTCCCTTCCTCGCCACTGCATGCAGCCAAAAATTAAGATTCTCTTTTTATTTCCGATGTGGATTTATAAAGCATGAGATTTGAAGAGAGTATAAAATTTTATAACTGCTGTAATTTCCATCTTATGAAGCATTTTGTCTCTTATTGTGTTTTAACTGCCTTATTTTCTTAACACAAATGGGGGGAAAAGCTGAAATCTTGAACTTGAGGACGCACTTAAGTTGTGGAAATTTACGTTTTATTTTATAGAGCTGAAAAAAAAGTTTGTTTTTATGAGAAGTGAACTTTAAAATCTCACTTTAAAACGCCTTAAAAACCAAAATAGCTTGACAAGATGAAGTTTCAGCAGTTTGCATGTTGAATTTGTAGATTGGACTTGAACACATTGGTTTAGATCATTTTTTGGTCACAATTCTAAGCGTGCATGAAGCCCAATCTGTGTATTTTCAAATTAATTTAGCCCATTTTGGTGGTGTACAAACCAAGACTTGCATGATTGTGAAAAAACTGCACAAAAAAATGAATATGGGTGTGTACACCTGTATGCCAGAGGTGAGCAAACGGTCCAAAGAAACCAGTCTAACCCCCACTCCTCTAGCTCATGTCCCTACTCACCATCTCCACCAAGTCGCTGATTCACTCGCCCTGTTAAACTCCCCCCACACCTCCTCCACCACCTCCCACTTCCTCCCTCACTGCCCCAATCTCCTAATCCAACACCATCCACTCTGGTGATTGGCATTACATCAACATTCTTTCTGTTTTTTTTCCCTCTTTCTCTTTCTTTCTGCTCTCTTCTTTCTCTCTCTCTTGTTCTCTCCATCCATTCATTCATCCCTCACTGAGCAGGCAGTATTAAATCCAGTCGCCGTTCCTCCTATGTTCTAGCCATCTCCAGCGAGCGCTCCAAGTCATGTGACGAAGGACTCAACACGTTCAGAGAGGACGGACGATCCTTGTAAGTACTGCAGATCCCAGACACCTGATAGAAATTATATTTCACGTTATTAATATTAACGACTCTTTGTTGTGATGTTATATTCAAGTAGGAGGCTTCCAAAAAGAGTGAAGAGCTTCTTCACAGATGGGGTGAGTTCCTCACTTTTTATTACTGCACATAAACCGACACGATCTGTAAATACTTTGCATGTTATCATAAAATTC